TTCCACCAATAGCTCCACAATCACCCTCACCTATCATCTGGGGCTGGTACAATAGGCCAGAAGTGGCCGCAGTACAAGGGACTTAGTCCCACCCCACTAGCAATAAAAAAAGATATAACTGGAGGAAATTACAGAATAAAACAATTTACAAGAAAAATGAGGCGAGTGTGACATAAAAGAAGCATGACAGACATGAGAAATATATATAAAATGTAGTGGGAAATCTTGGAGATTAAATTATAATTGAAAATAATATTATATTTTTAATTTTTCGCGTCTGGAGTTTAATGTATGACCGCCTTTCTAGAATATCCCAGACAGAAATGTAAGTTTTACCAAAGCCTCAGCAAACATTTAAGTTGCTAACTTCAAGTTTACTGTCAATCTGACAGCGGGTAGGAAGTAGGAGTTGAAGCCGTGATTGGCAGCAACAGAGAAGCTGATTGGTTTCCAAACACATGGTAACCCACTATTGGTTAGCAATGCACTCCTTAATTTCGTCCAATCACGGCTTCACATTCAAGTAGCCTCTTACCGTCAGATATGATGGGGAGGTCCAACCAGCTCACAAGTTATTATTAACTCGAGGAGACCTAAAGGCAGGAATGACTGTGCTGGTGAGGACCAATAAGTATTTAACTGATCGACAACAAGTTATTAAGCAACTCCAAAGTTTAAAGCACAATAGATCATTGAAGGTTGCAGTGCGAGGGCCGGTTTTTATGACTCACCCTCAAACTCATACTCAACTCCAATGTTTGCTGAAAATTTGGGGGGGAAGAAAAAAAACTTCAACAATTTAAGCGGCCTATTTCCAAAACCCGAATTCATACTATTTCATACAGTTGTCTGTAAGGACGTTATTTCATACGCCGTATAATTCTGTTTCAGGGACATGGGATCACTTATACATTTACTCAAGAGCAGTCTCGGGACAGGAGTACTGGCTATGCCAATGGCTTTTAAAAATGGCGGATTCATTTTTGGATCCATCGGAACCGTAGTAGTTGGCATCATCTGTACTCACTGCGTCTACATCCTGGTAAGTAACCAGATCCGACCCAATGAATGGAATTAAACCTTACCTTGTTTCGCAAGTGTAATGTTACGTGCTATTATATAGTTTCTTTTTTCTTTTTTAAATCTAGTGGGGTGGGTCTAAGTCCCTTGTACTGCTGCCACATCTGGTCTATTGTACCAGCCCCAGATGGTAGGTGAGGGTGATTGTGGAGCAATTGGTGGAACGAAGATTGGCAGGGGAAACCGAAGTACTCGGAGAAAACCTGCCTCAGCGCCACTTTGTCCACCACAAATCCCACTTGACCATACCCGGAATCGAACCTGGGCCGCCGCGGTGGAAATCCAGAGACTAACCGCTTGAGCTCTGGCTCAACAATGAATCGACAATGACTCGATGCTACCTTTATTAGTCTTTCAGCTAAAGCATACATACGAACAGAACAAACAGGCCAGATAAACCACTTAAAGACCAGTGGTTCCATGCTTACCATCTGCTTTAACACAATAAAAGTCAGTATTCTACCAACATAATGGGTTTCTGTGTTTCATAAGGTTCCCAAAATAGATTTTTTTTTCGATAAACAGCATTAATAGATTGATTTTGTAGCGGAGACGTATATGACCGTTCAAGTGACTAAGTTACCGTTGTAGCATAAGATACGTAAGATAGGCATGGTCTGCTTTCCAAAGCCTGTAGTGACAAAGAAATTTTGTGTAGTGCACAAGGAACAATTATCAATAACATGTTGTATGTGCGATACGTACACTTGGCAGAGAACAACAAAGAACTCACCCTCTCGTCAGAGAGGAAGTTACGTAAGGACTATAACCGCAAGGTTTCAGCTGCAAAAAATAATAATAATCTGTGATCGTGATCCTCAATGGGCTTGGAGCCAAGACGAACTGATTGGCAATAGATCGCCAGTCGCAAAGTTCCTCGGACTCTGACTCTGACTCTGAATCTGACTCTGACTCTGACTCTGACTCTGACTCTGACTCTGACTCTGACTAATCTGTTGTCTGGGCCAAACTGAGTGCCTATATGATGCCCTGACGCCTGCCACAATAACAGATAAATTTTATGGTATAGTAATAAGAAGTCTAAGGGACCACCATAATATAGTGATTTTTATAGCCATTACGAGTACAAGGCTAAATATTAAATTTTATGAAATTCGGTTGAATATCTCTCACAAATACGATTAATTAAGTTATTTGTGTGACCAACAACGACCGCATCTGTGGTCTAGTGGTCAGCGTTCCTGAGTACAGATCCAGAGGTCCGAAATTGATTTCCTGAGCTACCAGATTTTTTTTCTGAGAAGTAGTGTGTCTGGAACGGGATCCACTCAGCCTCGTGATGATAATTGAGGAGCTATTTCAAGGAAATAGCGGCTCCGGTCTAGAAAACCGAAATTAACGACCGTGGGGTTCCGTTGCGCTGACCACGCGACACCCTCTATCCGCAAAATTTGGTATTAATCTTCGCCGACAAGCAGCGGTCGCTCTGTCGATATAGTTCACTTGCGAACTAAAATCACGGAGTTCTTTTTTTTTGTGTGTGTGACCAACAGCTCCTTGCATCGTAGCGCGATGGCTATATTAGGTACCGGTCTGCAGGGGTCAGATACCGTGTGTAGTCGCTGAAGATACTTCTCATGGATGTGACAATGAATTCTACACGCACAGATGAATGATCGTGCGGAATATAAATGTGTGAATTAACCATTGATAAGATGGCCAGTCAATGCAATGTGAGGATCTTAGTGGTTGAGAGTGTAAACAACTTATTTACAGGAAGTGTAAAAGTGAATGCATAAGGTGTGTTTGAGGATCTGTCGGTTGTGAGAACAGACGCTGCTGTGTTCCTTGATGTGACAACTTGAACTTTGGTTTCGGAGGAAATTATAGCCATCTTCTTCAGGGTAGAAGGTTCTTTTACTGAAGATGGAGGCACTTTTTTCCTAAAATTATTGTTATATTTCTATCATTCGATAATGCATTGCATCCCAGGAGTCAATAATTTTTGTGTATAGGTTAGATGGGCTATTTGTTATCATGAATTTGTTTTCTTTCCAATTTTGTTTTTGTTTCTTCTTCCATTCAGCTTTTTCCTCATTTTCGTTCTATTTTCTTTACATTCTTCGTAATCACAAAGACAAAAACAACACCGTCCAGTGTGACTATTTAAGTTTCTTTGAAATGTTTCGATTGCTACAAGTTACGAAACTCTAAAAAAATGTTGGAGGTCACTTGATACCAACATGTCTTCTCAGTACACAAAATGTGACATGTTTAATGTGAAAAAAACATATTTGAGAATGTAAATACATCGCCTGTAAATGAAATCTAACCATGTACCAAGGTTTGTTTTTATCAGTACTTCCTTGTTAATTCGTGTAAATGTAATAGTACACACGTCAGAATTTTTACGATTAAATGTGACATGTTGTCTCCGTACTATTCGTAGTAAGACACATTCTCTAACTTAGCGTCGATCGATTTTATGGCAGTGAAGAGTAGACTGGGAACTATGAACAACGAGGCAGCCAGGGTCTAATTTAAGGTGTTCTTCGTCGTTTGCCTGGAGAGACGAGTCAATTATGCGAAGATCTTCAGTAATAACTGTTTGTCTTTCTACCTACCTACCTTCTTTTTTTTTTGCTAGTGGGGTGGGACTAAGTCCCTTGTACTGCGGCCACTTCTGGCCTATTGTACCAGCCCCTGATGATAGGTGAGGGTGATTGTGGAGCAATTGGTGGAATGAAGATTGGCAGGGTAAACCGAAGTACTCGGAGAAAACTTGCCCCAGCGTCACTTTGTCCACCACAAGTCCCACTTGACCAGACACCCAGCACATGTTTCGGCCCTAAATGGACATCTTCAGGTGCCTTACCAAGCTAAAACTGCTCACTGCACTAATATTATCCATTCGTCACATATGCAACTGCAAGCTTATTGATTCAAAATGTCGTAATCTTAGCCTCAACGGTATGAGCTGAAGTAGCACACGCTGTAGTTCACTTTATGTAAATCAAATAAAATCTATTGAAATTTTCTTTAAATTTTGTAAAATTGTTATTACACTTCACAAGGGGTGTCGTCNCGAAGGCCACTTCTGCAGACTGGATAATGAGCTCATGCAGTCTTCCTACACAGAGCTTCACACAACCTTCACAGCTTTGCACAGTATTTGCTGCTTAAGCTGCCACTGAATGCTGCAATACTGGAAAAGAAAAAGCTAAGCTATCCCTGTACCAGGCTGTGCAGGTCCATAGGGTTATGAAACGCCGAGGTTCCACATTTTCTAGACAATCGGCTCACAGATGGCGGCAAGGTTGTCAGCCTTACTCGCCGGCTGGCCTACATTAACCCCTCAGGAATATTCCTGGTACTCATTTCTGTTAGAGACTGAGTAGAGCCCACTGTCACAGTGCAGTTGGAAGGAATTGGTCAATTAAAAATCCAATGAACTCACCGGGAATCGAACCCGCGACCTTCCGACTTGTAGCAGAGTGCCTCAACGAACTACTCTACCACGTGCCTCCCCACTGAAATAGATGTGAAATGAAATAATGATATTTCTTTCACAATGTTTTCGTGAGTTGTTTTAAGAGCCAGTCAGCAGATGTTCAGTTTATGTAGAATGAATGTTAGGATAACTGAGGAATACTGAATTGGAAGGGATCTAGAAGAAAATGGTAGTGTCCTTAATGAGACACTCTCAGCCAGAATTTTGACTTGGTGAAGCCATGAATAGGCTCCAAGTGTCGGTACAGAAAAAACCTGTAATTAGCAGTGCCAACAGATACCTCAGTCGGTACTAAATTTAGGTTTGCACCTAACCCTGATAAACCTCTTCCTTTCGTTTCCTAGTTACTAGGCACAGCGGGCAGAATTACATTTACATGTAGGCTGTAATCACGAGCACGTGACTCATGACGTTACCCCGCACTTTTTGAAAACTGAAGTACATGTAATGTCCTTGAAGGTATTACCTGTTCTCCAGTTAAAGGCGACAGCAATTAAGAGCATTGTTAACGACGACGCGAGCTGATAAGCATTCTTGCTGATTTCAATGTTGCAGGTTAAGTCGTCACAGGATCTGTGTAGGAGGCAGAAGGTTCCATCTCTGGGATTCTCAGAGACCGCTGAGGCAGCTTTCAAATGCGGTCCTCCAGGGTTACAGAAATTTTCTACAGCTGGAAGGTAACAAAAGGACATTGCGGGATTTATGGGGCAACAAATTTGGCGATCTCCCCGGAGCCCCCACTAAAGAGAAATAGAAACCAAAGATATTTTATTCATTCCTTCATCAATGGCGCTACAGCCCCCTGTTGGGCCCTGACCTCTTCTTCAATTCTGCAATCTTTCTTACACAGACGGTAAGAATCCTTGGACGAGTATCTAGCCCGTCGCAAGGCCGCTACCTACACACAGGTCAACACAAACACAGAATAAACGCAAACAGATATCAATGTCTTGAGTGGGGTTCGAACCCATGATCTAAGTATTCGAGCAAGCGAAGACAATTCATGTCTCAGAACGCGCGGTCAATATGATCGACCCAAACATATATATTTATCTGAAATCATGAGAAATACGTTGTACCTCCAATTAGTATAATTAATAAGAGCAATAGGTCCGACAAAAGGATTATCATAATCTAAGTTTGATGTAACTGAGAGGGGCCTTCACATTTTGGTTTTCCTAGGGCCCCAACAACTCTAAATCCGACACCTCCATCTTCAGCTTCGGAAAAAATGTTAAGCAAAGAACCAGCATGATCAGGTGGCAAAGTTTCCGTTGCTCTGTAACCAGTCAAGGTTATCGTACACTTCAGGAGACATCAATGAATGTATATGAAGCAATAATGAATTGATTAGCGGGGAAAAAAGAAAGAACTCTGAGAGGGACCTTCTACGGTATCAATTCCTCAACCACCATGAATTATTATTATACCAGTAAGACGTTACCTTCCATGATGAAAAAGGAACAGTATTTTGAAGCCAAAACACATTGGGACTTAAATCCTCTACGTTTAATTTCTTTGTATGTATCTTAATGTTTCATTACTTCTTAAATTAGTAAATGCAATCTTGTCATATTGATTTCAATCAACGCTTATAGTAAGGTAGCAGTAGGCCGCGCCATAGCTCAAGCGGTTAGTCACTGGCTTCCCACCGCGGCGGCCCGGGGTCGATCCCACGTCTGGTCAAGAGAGATTTGTGGTGGACAAAGTGGCGCTGGAGCGGGTTTTCTCCAAGTACTTCGGTTTCCCCTGCTAATCTTCATTTCATCAAATTCTCCATCATCATAATCACCCGGGGCAGGCTACAATAGGCAAATCAGTGGCTGCCGTGCCGAGTGGATCCAGTTGGACTCCACCTCCCACTGAGCGAATTAAAAAAAGGTAACATTATAATCAGCGTTCTAATTACTCGTAGATGATAGAAAGCAATCAAAATTCTTCTGAACCGGAAGTTTAGTGGGTAGTCGTACTCGTCCTCTTGGTGACATTTACGAAGGTCTAGGCAGTAAGTAGAGCATGCGCACTGGTGTGTGTTTCCGGAACTAACTCACTCTCTGTTGCGTTGCCCGCTTCCGTTGAACCACAAAGCATGAACATCCCACCTCTAAAATGTAACTAAACAGAATATAAAGGCGTTCCTTGTTAGCTTACTCATTACATTCCAGTGTACTGGTATTGTTACGCTCAATGCCAACCATGAAATGAAGGGCCAATGTTTATAATCAGAAACACAGAGTCGATAGAAGTACATCGGAAAACATTACCATAGAAGTAGATTCTCAGGGGTTCTCACGATAGTGCATAACATTCAGTATTACTGTGTTTTTGGACTTTGTGCATCGTTCTGTATTCTAAAAACTGGAGAAGTCAAGGAGGATGAGGTGAGCAGGGCACGTAGCATGAATGGGGGAAAGGAGAAATGCATATAGGATATTGGTGGGAAATCCGGGAGGAAGGAGAGCACTGGGAAGACCAAGGCGTAGATTGGTGGCAATATTAAAATGGATCTCAGAGAGATAGAATGGGATGCTATGGATTGGATAGATCTGGCTCAGGATAGGGACCGCTGGAGGGCTCTAGTGAATACTGTAACAAACATTCGGGTTCCATAAAATTCTGGGAAATTCTTGAGTAGCTGCACAATTGGCAGCTTCTCAAGAAGGGCTCGGCTCCGTGAGTGAGTAAGTGAGAGAACACAACGTTTGGGGAGCTGCATCTGTTTCATTCCTGATATAAGGGGGCGGAAAATGTTAGCTCTTCTTAATGGTCCCAACATAGTAGGTGTCTCCCCCTTCACCTGAGGACGGAAACAGGTATTGTTTCCAAAACGTTGTGTTCTCTAGTTTTAAGAATACCGAACGATGGACAAAGCCCCCCCCCCAAAAAAACGTACCAATTCTGAGGACCGTAGAAGTACGTTTTAACGATACCTGTTACAATGATATAATTTTCATTTTCGCTTTAGTCTGTCTAAATGGGTGTTCTTAATGAAAATATGAGATCTACCTATCTATGGCTCTACAGTCATTTGTTGGCCCTTGGCCCCTTTTTTCAGTTTCTCAATCCTATACACAGTCGGTAGTACTCCTTGGAAGGGGGATCAGCCAGTCGCAAGGCCGCTACCTACATATAGAAGAACACAGACACAGAACAAACGCAAACAGATATCCATGCCTTGAGTGGAATTCGAACCTACGATCTAAGTGTTCGAACGAGCGGAAACAGTCCATGCCATGAGTACAGGACTTCAAGGGCTGGCAGTATGAGCTCCACTGTGTCAACGCAGCTCAGGTTTGCTAACTCTGCTCTTAAGTCTGATGAGGCTTCTATTGTAAGACAACTAGCAATATGTGTTTAGGGTTCCTCAAAGGAAGTTGGAGAAGAGGAAAGCAAACAGCCTCATTCTTGACAACCTCTCGAAGGCCACTTCTGCAGACTGGATAATGAGCTCATGCAGTCTTCCTACACAGAGCTTCACACAACCTTCACAGCTTTGCACAGTATTTGCTGCTTAAGCTGCCACTGAATGCTGCAATACTGGAAAAGAAAAAGCGAAGCGTTCCCTGTACCAGGCTGTGCAGGCCCATAGGGTTATGAAACGCCGAGGTTCCACATTTTCTAGACAATCGGCTCACAGATGGCGGCAAGGTTGTCAGCCTTACTCGCCGGCTGGCCTACATTAACCCCTCAGGAATATTCCTGGTACTCATTTCTGTTAGAGACTGAGTAGAGCCCACTGTCACAGTGCAGTTGGAAGGAATTGGTCAATTAAAAATCCAATGAACTCACCGGGAATCGAACCCGCGACCTTCCGATTTGTAGCAGAGTGCCTCAACCAACTACGCTAGCACGTGCCTCCCCTCTGAAATAGATGTGAAATGAAATAAGGATATTTCTTTCACAATGTTTTTGTGAGTTGTTTTAAGAGCCAGTCAGCAGATGTTCAGTTTATGTAGAATGAATGTTATGATAACTTAGGAATAATGAATTGGAAGGGATCTGGAAGAAAATGGTAGTGTCCTTAACGAGGCATTCTTCAGCCAATTTCTTGCAGGAACTGAGAAAAACCATAAAAAAACTTGGGATAACCAGTGCCTCGGCCGAGACTCGAACTGAGCACCTTTTGAAGTAATCATATAGTCACGATTGATCTGTGTGTGTGTGTATGTGACTATATGCGGGGTTTCGTTCGGTGAATAGATTTATTGACCACTTATACGTTGCAACTACAAATTACTACAACAATATCTCTGATCTACACAGTTTACAAATCACTAGCACACGCTGTGTTCTCATTCTTCACTAGACGTATCCTGGCAACGGATATTAACACATTAATTAGAATAGGCTCAGTATATATACAGCACGTATAAAGTATTCTCTTCATAGCTGGACTCTGTCAACTTACACTTAACTGAGTGTCCCCCACTTGTCTTCCTTATAATCACTTTGCACGGACCGAGCAGAAAATACCGCTTCCAACATTAACTATTTTTGTGTGTGTATTCGTTGCCGCGAGAACATGTTTACCGATCCATTGCCTAGAAACGGGTTCCATAATACTGTTATTTATCCGTCTATTTCATAGCAACGTCTGTACACGCTACCTTCGTCTTGTGGTTTGTTTTGAGGTCTTTGCCCAGCAACGGCTCTATATGCTACAGTATAAATTTACAGCGTTACCTCTAGACCATACTGTTCGATACTTTTATTATCGTTTCCCTCTGTGACTTTATCTACAGGTTAGGTGTGTTTAGTTCCACGGATCGCTACTTAATGTTAACAGTAAATGTATCAGGTCAGTACTTCCGGTAACATTTAGTAATATAGGATTCTGGGTTCAGAAACGGTGTCAATTGGCATAGAAATTCGGTAATTTTAGAAAAGAAAAAAAATGGAAAATTAAAATCAATGAAGCAGATGCACTTTCCAAACATATTTGCTCATGCGAAGCATAGAGCCGGAATAGTGGTTAGTTTAGAGACAGGTAAACCGGTGATCGGAGTTCGGATTCCGGTCAAGGTTGTGGCGTATTTATCTTCTACACAACATAGACTGTGATTCTTTTGGCTTCCCACGTTTCCATCAATCGAGCGCCGAAGCGGCCGAAGCGTGAAGCTGACCACTCTCCATCTAGTACCAAGGTTCAGAATAGGGCCGAGCCATAGCTCAAGCGGTTAGTCGCTGGCTTCTAACCGCGGCGGCCCGGGTTCGATCCCGGGTCTAGTCAAGTGGGATTTGTGGTGGACAAAGTGGCGCTGGGG